GAAGACTGAAAAACATATCAGCATAAGTTACTTCTTGCCACTTTTGTTCACGCCTAAGGAAAAGCATTAACTGTAATAAAGTCTCATAGTCTAAAGTACCATTTGCTGGCCATTTCAACCCCCCATCAAGTCTATAGAGTGGCCACCACTGTGTAGAAAATTTAACAAGTTCCCTTTTAGTTTCACTACCACCATAGCCCACCAGCGCTTTCCAGTGTGTTAAGATACACCTTAAAGGGGTTCCCCTGGGAATCTCTTTGCTCTCATTTGCCCCCATGTTCAGGGTTTTTTTTTTTTCAAAACGTCTTTTGATCTTATCCCAGTTCTTAAGCTTTACCTGGTATTCTTCTGGTACAAAAATATGCTGGCCACACTCAACTCGAAGTATTTCCACTGGTTTCTTCAAAGTTCCTGAAACTCCGTTTTCCAACAATTCAAATATTTTACTGCTACCAGGAACCTCTTGACCAGTCACCAACAAAACTTGTATAACTTTCTGGGTAGCCTCTTGTTCTTTTGAACGACAAAAAGCACAAATTCCAGTCTTAGGTATTAGCCACCTGTACCCTTTTCGGACCCACAAATCCTGACAGACTACACACCGAAATACAATCCACGGATTACAATAACAATCTTTATTTGGGCAGGGGAATATTCCTGAACCAGGCTTTCGGTTCCTGTTTCTCCCGGTCCTGGTCATATAGCTGTGCTAGCAAACAAAAGGGATAAAACAATTTGTTAGTTAATTTTCACCTTTTCTCCTTCAAAACAAGGTTCAGAGCAGCAGCTGTAAAGGAAAAACTTGTTATACAAAAGAAAAAGGGAAAAAGAAAAAAAACAAAGAAAAAACAACAAAAAAAACTTCACTCATTAAATAAAATCCTCTGTTATGTTTTGCTCTGGGTATATTACTGTAAAAATTCGTTTAAAAACTGTAAGCAACCTTTCATACACTGTAGCAAGTTTGCAGCTAAAAACCAATCGTATCTCCTGTCGCACTGTAAACAAAGGACAAATAGAAATCTTACAAATTATCAGTTCAGTTTCGACTGAAATTTCGTGACTCCACACTGCACTGAGAGCTGTGTGAACCACTACTATAGCCTGTTCTAAAAATTTTCGGATTTCTGACCAAATTTCTCTCACCCTTTGATTGAAAATGTTACAAAATGCAAAGTTCAGCTGCGTATTCGCAGCTGCAAAACCGGGTTTCTCTTTTTCCAGGAGGACCTAAATTCTAATAGTTTAGGCTCACAAAAAAAACACCCTGGGGTTTTTCACAACCCCGAACACATTCAACAAATGTTCTAACAAGGTCTTGCTAAAATCACACAAACTTCAGTCAAAACACAACACAAATCTTTCAACAAGGAGTGGAGGGGAGGGAAAGATAAACTACTAGCAAACACTCACTCACTAAACCTGGGGTTTTCCAGGCAGTTGAAAAATGTATCCTGAGGTCACAGAGCCTGAATTCTCCTCTAGTTATCTGGGAGACAAATGACCTCTTAATCACCAGGACTATCTTAAAAGTAGTTTAGGCTTTTCACTTCACCCTCTAGCTATAAAACAAAAATTCAACTTACAAAGCTTTTCATCCAACAACATATCAAATAAAATTTTCACAGCCAAAAGCGCACGCTGCCCAAATTCACACAAATACACACAATCTAAGCACCATGCAAATACTTTAAATCAGTCTGCACTCCCAAAGGTCAGTATTTCTTTGCAAAGCAAATAACAATTTCACAAACTTCTTACAACTTCAAGTTCACAAAGCTCCTAAAAACACTTACAAAAATTAATAACACACGCCAAATCACACAAATTATAATGCTCACAGCACTAACTCTTACAGACCACAACAAATACAATGCTCAAATAGTTTTCCACAGCCTAAACACACAAAATCACAAACTCACTAAACAAACACGGATCCGGTTACAATACACACATACAGCGCTTGGGGCCACAACTCAAATTGTCACAGCAGGACGCTTCGTGTCCCAAAGTTCAGACTAACCACCCAAATTATGGATTACTAAGGTGCACCTTTCAAATTACAAACTGAGATCAGAGCCACTCCTGCTCTAATCCAAATCCACAACACCACAGCCGCTGTCTCCTCTACGAGCCACAGACTGCTAAACCTCTGGTACTGCTGCCTCCTCTACGAGACACAGACTAAAAAACTTCTGGTGCTGCTGCCTCCTCTACGAGACACAGACTAAAAAACTTCTGGTGCTGCTGCCTCCTCTACGAGGCACAGACTAAAAAACTTCTGGTGCTGCTGCCTCCTCTACGAGGCACAGACTAAAAAACTTCTGGTGCTGCTGCCTCCTCTACGAGACACAGACTACCAACCTCGGATACGAGACGTCTTTCGTGTCTTTTTAACTGCCTATATAATAAGGTACCTTCCCTCAAATATAAACATACCTCTTGTCCGTAGTCCAGCAGGTTCTGGTCTTTCCCCGGGTAGTCAGCGAGATCGCAGGATCCCTCTTCCCAGAAACTTCTGGGTGGGCGCCCAGAGGGGTCCTGGACCCCACCAGCCCCACGGCCAGAGAGAGCAGTCCTCCTGGCTGGCTCGCCAAAATGATTTATTAAAAAAATATGGATATTGATCTAGTATCAATATCCAACTATGAAGGACAAAAACTCTCTAACAGTTTAAAGTTAGAAAGTGTATGTTTATTCGACGCCGGGCGTCGTGCGGGATAGCTCCCAAATACACACCGCACCTTCCAGGTGATTACAGAGTCTTTTTATCCATACAAGTATTGAATACACAAAATAGAAATACATATTCATCATTTTGGTACATCCCATTCCCCGCTTCATATGCTAATCACTCCAAAAGCTATTAAGCATGCGTAGTTTGTCCCTTGAAATGGGTGGGTGGTCCCTTTCATGGGGAGGGGTCCCAAAATGAGGAAGTAAATGAAGTCTTCCTCGTTCTGACCTTTCTACCTTTTCAATGCAAGTATGACAAATGAACTCTTGGTAGAACTCCCATTCCTTGTCTTCAATTGGTTTCAGAACAGAGGAGGCCCACAATTGTCCTATGTTCCTAAAAGCTATTTATCAGTTTCTATATTCTTCATTATAAACCCAGCTAACTAAACATTGTGCTGACAAGCAATTAATTATTAGTTAACTACTAACTCCTAACTTCATCAAGGCCTACTCATTTATTATTCTTATTTTAATTAACTCTAGTAAGACTTATTTCTCTTAGCTCCTCAAAATCTCTAAATGCCTTAAAGTTTACGTTTCAAGATGAGCAAGTGCTACAGTTGTGCCTGGAAGGCACCTGCAACAGAGAGGCCTCGGGAAGGCTACAGGGCAGTAAGTCTTGCAGTCTGTCTTCGAGGGCACAGCAAGAGAGAAGTCTCAGAAAAGAAACGGGACAGCAAGTCCCGCAGTCCGTCCTCGAAGGCACTGGCGGCAGGGATGGCAGATGCTTTGGAAATGCTCCGGGCCACCGAATCCTGCAGTCCGGCCTCAACGTCAACTGCACAGGGAATGCCTTGGAAAAGCTCCGGGTCAGCAAGGAAGGGGTTGGCTGTGTGGGGGCTCCTCACAGCACCGCTCTGTCCCGTCCTGTCCCGTTGTGTGCACCGAGCACTGTGGCATGGCCGTGTTGCTGCCAGCACATATGTCAGGATGTGTCACAAAGGGTCACCCTTGTACACTCTGGCCCTTTCCATCCCACAGTGACCACAGTGTCACAAAGAGCCCAAGGACACACATCCACGTGCCCTGGGGACACACCCACTCCACCCAAACTGCTCCAGCTTGCAAGGAAGACCTTCCCCCAAGTGGTGAAGACACCACCCAAGGGGTGAAGTTCCAAGAGGAACTTTAGGAACGGCCCAAACAACAAGCAGCTGCTCCTCTGCTCTGCCTGCTCAGGGCTGCAGAAGGAGCCCTCACAGCTGCCAACAGAGACGAAGCAGGAAGGACACCTGGAGCTTCTACAGAAGCTGCCATGGCCTCTTTGGGACCAGTTCCAGTGCTGGATGGCCCTCATACATGCAGGTCTGTGACACAGACACGGGACATGTGGGCCAGAGCACGAATGCTGCTCTGACTCCTGGCGAGCACTGACATCAGCAGGTGTGGCAGAGTCCCTGCCAAAGGAGACCAGCCACCCCAAGCTCTGCCAGTGCTGGTGCCTGTCAGCTGCCACAGAGACCTGTGGCCCCGGGGGACTTGTGTGCCAGAGGACAGCCGAAGCCAACGTGCCTTGGTGTCTATGGGATCCTTTCTGCAGGTGGCTGCAGGCAGGAGCACCTGGAGCAGCACTTGGTAGCCACACTTGGTAGCTGTCAAAAGCTGTTGCTCCTTCCTAGAATGATTTTTGCTTGGAAGTGATAATCTGCAGCACAAAAACACCATCCACTGTTGACTTCCAGAGGACAATGACATTCTTACAGAGATACTGTCAAGTTCCCTTGTGTCCTTCTGTTTTTCTTGCTTTCTGGGAAAGAACATCAGCCCAGCATCTGATGCCCAATGCTCCGTTTGCTGCCTGGCTGGCTGTAGCCAGCAGCTCATGTCCAAAGACAAGCGGGTGCTGCCTTCTGGGCAAGGGAATGGACAGGCACGAGCAGAGAATTTCCCTGGTGAAGCTGGGAGGAACCTGGGGAAGTGCAGAAGACTGGGATAACGCTGGCATGAGAGAAGCCGTTCTGTGTCCCTGATGACGGGGCCAGCAGTGTGAAGGAAGAGCCAAGAGAAGCACTGGAAGCAGACACATCCTGCCGCTTTCTGCTGTTCCACGGACACGGAACACACTTGTTCCCACAGCTCCAGAAGACTTGAAGCAGGAAGAAAAACATTCAGCAGGACCACCAAAGGCCAAGGGGCTTCTGGCCACTTTCCCTTGCCCACTGCACGCTTGGGCAACTTGCCGAGTGCAAGCGCCCTTTTTCCACTCCTCCCCATTGGCCTGAAGAATCTGGGCACCAAGAGAAAGCTCCTGGACCTCCGGGTATGACAACAGCAATTTATTAATGCTACCCTGGGGTGAAAGGAAGTGCTTTCAGAAGGGGTTGGTCCCTGCAGGCTCAGGTGGCCCCAGCAGACGCAGCCTGGCGGATCAGTTCTCCACAGCGCTGCAGCAGGACAGCCAGCCCCGGCGACACGGGAAAGGCCGTGACTTCCAGAGCCGGCGGAGTTGATCTTGCACATTCTGGAGTCGGGAGGAGGGAATGGCCTGCACAGCTAAATTGATGTAATGAGTTTGAAGGGCCAGGCATGAGATGGCGGGGCTGGCGTCATACGCCATGTCCTGAAGGGCTGCGAGAGAGAGGAACAGAGCCACCGTCAGAGCCTGTGTCTGCAGAAACATGGGGACACCCTCCTGCCACGTCCATGCCAGGCAGCTCTTGCCATGGCCTGGAGGAAGCAGGAGACAAGAAGGGCGAGCTGGAAGGTGCTGGCCACGAATCTGCCACAGGCCCCCGAAAGGTCTGTGTGCTCAGCCCACGCTGCCCTTGGTGCACGCCGGGCCAGGGAAGGCAGCTGCCAGCGGCAGCCCCCGCTGAGAGCCCACTGGCCTCACTCACCCCTGCAGAGGATCCGGAACTCTTGCTGCTGTCCTCTCAGGCAGCGCCCGGCGATCCCTTGGGAACAGAGAGCGTGAGCTGGCTGGAGAGCCACAGCTGCCGCCCACGGGCGCTGCCAGCCCTGAGGCCACACGGCCTCCTGGCCCGGCAGGGCTCAGCCCGGGCCCCTGCCGCATCCTGCCGCCCAAGGGCACGGCTGCCAGAGGGCGGTGGCAGCGCCGAGGCCAGGCGGGGCTCCAGATGGCCGCGCTGGGATGCTGCTGCCGGGGCAGCAGGCGGGGCTGGGGCCGAGCTGCGGCGGGGCGGGGAAGGAGCCGGGCTGCTGGCTCACCCATGAACCTGACGGCCGCCTCTCGCAGGGGCTCCTGTGGGCTCTGCAGGTAGGGCAGGGCCCGGCGCAGGTGCTCGGCCGCTCGGCTCCTGTCCTCTGCCAGCTGGAGAGAGCAGCAGGCACAAAGGGAAGGGTTGGTGTGGGCCCTGCCCCTCGGCCGGGCGCTCCCTAGGCCGGGCGCCGCTCCCCCTGCCCACACAGCCCCGAGGCCCGGCCAGCAGCCGCAGGCGCCGGGCTCCGCAGGGAGCAGAGGGCCCGGCGAGCCGCGGTGCCGCCCCGCGGCAGAGCCCGGCTGCCTCGGGGCTCCCTCAGCGCCGGGCTTGGGGCCAGAGGAGCCTGGAGCAGAGCCCGGGTGGCCCCGGGAAGGCAGCGGCGTGTGGGGCGCCGGCCGGTGCCCCTGCGTGCAGCACTGGGCAGGGGCTGCAGCTGCCAGCCCCACAGACTGGGCACCGTGGGCAGGCGGCTTCTCCAGGCTGGGGCTGGGGCTTCTGGGCTGTCCTTACCAAGCGCTCGGCAAAGCTCCACATCTGATCTCTGTTCACCAGGTGCTGAAGATCCCTTCTCTTCAGGAATCTTACTGCAGAAAGCAGCGTTTCCCGAGAGGCCTGCAGAGCGGCAGAGAGCCGGAGATGGCACCGCAGCCCAGGGCACAGGAGCCGCGTCCCTGTGCCAAGGCCAGGAGGGAGCTGGAGCCCATGAGGAGGAGCCAGGCTGTGGGGAGACAGCTGAGCCCCCTGCCATGGGGACCCCGGCGCCCAGGAGCCCTCACCTGTGCCACACCCCAGTTCTCATCGTGGCAGTTGAAGAAGAGTGGGAGCAGGCTCTGCCTCACATGCTTCTTCAGGGGCTTTTTTCCCTTGGCCACCACCAAGTTCATCACCTCTTGGAAGAGGCGAACGGAGAGCAGCTTCACAAGGCTGTTGTCCTGTTGGAAAGGAAGCAAAACCCCTCCACATCAGCTGCTTCAGGCCCCCCTGTGCACAGGCCCAAGGCACCGGGCTTCCAGGCGGCGCCCGGTGCCCATGGCTGGGGGCACAGAGCTTTACATTGTCGAAGAGTTGCCAGAGCGCCTCAGCCAGCTGCAGGGCGATGGGGCTGGCTATTGCTATCTCTTTGTTGAAGAGCAGAGAGCTGAGAACAACGACGGTCATCTCAACAATGTCTTCATCCACGGCCCGCAGGAGGTTGCCAAGGCTTTCAGTCAGGCTGTACATTCTTTGGTTCTGTGTGGAAAACAAGGCTGGGCAACCCGACGCTGCTGCTGCTGCTGCAGGGCTCAGAGGCCGAAGGCCTGTCCCAGAGCACTCAGGCAGCTGAACAGTGACCCTGGAGAGCTGGGAGCAGCTGCCACAGCTCCCAAAGCCCAGCCAAGCCCAAGGGGCTGCTTTCCCCAGCCCCACGCTGCCAGCACAGCTTCAGCTGCTGCCTCCTTCTCACCATCGAGGGGTCCTGGCTGAGCACCACGAGGCCTCTGAGCGCCACGCGACGCATCTCTCTGGACCGTCTCTTCAGGTGCCTTGTCATGATCTGCAGGACCTTTTCACCGCATTCACTCAAGTCCAGGCAGTCCAGGACCTGAAAGGCACAGAGCAGTGACAGGAGTGCCCAGCTGGCAGGAGCTCAGAACCGCACAGGGCTGAGCCAAGGCAGCAGCACAGGGCACCATCCCAGGCAGCTGCGGCTACCAGAGGGCAGAGGCGTGGGAGGCAGCTGAGCGAGGCAGCGCTGGCCATCGGGCTCACCTCCACCAGGAACGTCAGGGCGGGCAGTTCCCAGTCTGAAATGTCTTGGCTGAGTAGGTCAAAGAGGCAGGATGCGATCCTGCAGCGCCAGATGATGGAGACACGGCGCATCTCCCTGGGGGGGAGAAAAAGGCACCATTGCTCCTGAGCTGAGTGGCCAAACCTCTCCCAGGGCTGACTCACAGAGGTCTGGTCTTCTCCCGAGCACTCCCGAGCACGGGTGCTTTGGGAGGCAGCTGCTCCAGGGCACCCTCCTCTCCCAGCCTTTTCAAATCTGCTCATCCCTCCCTTGGGGACAAGGCCCTGCCGCCCGTGAGCACGGGGACTGCGTGGGGTGATCTGGGCACAAAGGAGAGGGGCGGTGGGGAGAATGAGGTCTTACCTGGCCAGCAGACCCACTGCATAGTGGTGGGTGTGGGCACAGAGCAGCATGTTCCAGGCACACCTGCGTTCCATTGCCACCACCACATCCTCGTGCTGCATTTGGCAGAGCAGGGCCTTCAGGGTCTGCAGTGCAAAGCTGTGTGCAGAGCAAAGCCCAGGTCACGCTGGGAGCACTGGCTCCTGCCCTGGGAGCATGGCAGGGATGGGGAGGCTGGGAAGACTGGGATGGAGCACCTGTTGGGGTGGGCGACAAGGCCGTGTTGCTCCTGGCATCTCTTCCAGAAGGTATCCACCTCTTCTGGCATATCCAGCGTGCTGATGTAAGCTTGGAAGAGCAGACGCAGAAGGAGATTGGGGAAATATACCTGCACTACAGGTGGGCACCAGGTCAGATTGAAGACCCTCCACATTGTCACTGTTGCCTGCAAGAAATGAAACACCCAGAGACAGCAATCAGTGCCAAGACATGCATGTGGCATGGCCCCGGCCTGCGAGGGAGAGGCCAAGGGAGACACAGGGGGAGCAGCCGGCCTGGTGGCCCAGAACCTTGCCCCCAAGCCAGGTTTCAGCCCAGCGCCTGAGGCAGGGAGATGCAGCTGGGGCAGGGCAGAGAGCTAGCTGCTGGAGAGGTGGCCTGGGGGCTGGCAAAGGCCGCTTCCAGAAACTCACAGCCAGGGCAAAGACCCCTGTGCTGTCCCCATCAGAGGTGTACATGCTGTCCTCTGGCCAGGCGCTCAGCACATCGAGGAGGATCTGCAGCGCCGGCTCGGCGGTCCTGCTCGAGGACATGATGGTCCCCCACATGGTCACGGCAGCTCTGTGGGGCCAGAGCTCTGTGTCAGGGCGGGTCTCAGCCACAGCAGCGTGGCCTGGGCAGCTGCAGGGGCCCGCGCTGGCCCTCAGGCCGGCCTCTGACTCCTGCCCCTGGCTGGCAGCAGCCAGCCAGCCCACGTGGGTCCAGGCCCTGAGGGGCAGGGAGGGAGCATGGCAGCAGGCTCTGGAGTTGACATGCCAGGACTGGAAAACAGAGGGGCCAGAGGCTCCTGCAGTACATCGATGGCATCATTGTGTGTGGGAACACAGCAATGGAAGTATTTGAGTAAAGACAACAGATCATCCAGATTCGGCTGAGAGCCAGCTTCACCATCAAGAAGAGCAAAGTCAAAGGACCTGCCCGAGAGATCCAGTTCCTGGGAGCAAAGTTGCAAGACGGATAGTGTCACATTCCCACTGAGGTCACCACTAAGATCACTGCGATGTCCCCACCAACCAGCAAGAAGGACACACAAGCTTTCCTATGCTCCATTGGCTTTTGGAGAATGCCCATTCCCGAGTACAACCAGACTGTGAGCCTTCTCTACCCGGTCACCCACAAGAAGAACGATTTTCACTGGGGCCCTGCGCAGCAGCAAGCCTTTGCCCAGATCAAGCAGGAGATCGCTCATGCTGTAGCCCTTGGCCCAGTCAGGACAGGAGCAGAGGTGAAGAATATGTTCTACTCTGCAGCCAGGAGCAATGGTTTGTCCTGGAGCCTTTGGCAGGAGGAGCCTGGGGAGACTCGAGGCTGACCACTGGGATTCCGGAGCTGAAGTTACAGAGGGTCTGAAGCCCACTACACTCCTACAGAGAAGGAAATCTTGGCCGCCTATGAAAGAGTTCAAGCCACCTTGGAGGTGATTGTCATGGAAACACAACTCCTCCTGGCACCACGACTGCTGGTGCTGGGGTGGATGCTTAAAGGAAAAGTTTCCTCTCCCACCATGCCACTGACACCACATGGAACAAAAGGATTGTTCTGCTGTCCTTCATAAGAGTAAATGTTGTTCTGTTCTCCTGTCCTTGTCACTGTGCTCACCCTGCATGAGGTGTATCTGCAAGCCCTCCAACCTGTGGGCTTGGGATGGGCAAGTGTTCCTGAGGGAACAGGGATGGGGCAGCTGGGCTGGACTGACCCAAGGGATGTTCCATTCCATGTGACACCATGATCAGCAATCAACTGAGAGAACTGGGTGACAAGGGGGGTAGGGGATTAATTTCTGTTTGAAGATATTTTTCTTTCAAAACAGCACCTACACATACAGAATCTTATCCTGCCACAAGGTTATCAAACATTTTCTGCTGATAGGCAATTTCCTGTGGATTTGCTTTTCTTTTGTTAGTGCTTTTTTTAGTTGGGTTTGGAAGGTTTTTTTGGTCGGTTTTGTTTTTTTCCCTGTTGAACTGCCTTTCTTCTGATGCATACGTTTTTTCTCCCTTTCCTTGTGCCTTGCTTGGCACCTGATGGCAAGACAAATTTACCCAACTCAGTCATCTTGCCCAGTTATGTTTAGCAGTCACCATTACTAGATGAGTTCAGTCACAGACTCCCTGCAATTTGGCAGCATCCACCAAGAATTGAAAGTGCATTTCATGTCCTTGTAGAGATAATAGAAATAATCCACAGTGGTGGTCAAGGGCTGGTCACTGAGGGATGTCAGCAGGGCGTGGCTGCCAAGAGGACTCTGTACCATGGATGACATTTGAGCCTCATTGTTCAGCCAAATTCCCACCCACCCCATGTTCCACTCCTTCAGCCCGGGTCTCTCCAGTCTGGCTCTGAGGAGACCACAGCAGACCCTGTCACAGGCCTGCTGAAGCCTGTGCACACAACATCCCCTTCTTTTCCCTCCCACGTGGGTTCTGCAGTCCCTGCCTTGTCCTGCCAGTGCCTGGAATGGCTGCAGGAGGATTTGCCACATCCCCTTCCCTGCTGAGCCTGACCAGTCCGTGACTCTCCCAGTCCCCCTCCCTGCCCAGACTGGTTCCATGTCTGCCCTTCCCAAGTGCCCAGGACCCTCTGGGATGGCTCTGGCCTTTCCAGGAGGTTTGAGAGAGGTGCCACAGTGACGCTGCCCAGCCTTCTCAACAGGCCTGACACCAAAGGCCTTTTCCACATCCCTCAGTCCCAGATCAGTGGCCAGAACACAGCACAGCCCTGTCCAGGTCCTCAGGGTGGTTCAGAAGGAAGGCAGCAGGGTTTTCTCCCCACAGACCCTCACTCCATCCAATGTCTCTCTGTGCAGTCCATGGCTGCCCTGAGCATTTTTTCCTGGAGCCTCCCTGCCCAGGATGTTTGTCTCTATGCTGTCCTAACCACAGCCCAGCAAAGAATTCAGGTGCTTTCCCAGAGGAGGTTACTCTCAGAGTAAAATGGCCTCAAGGCACTGTTTGTGCCACTGGAATTGTGCCACCCCCTGAGTGCTGCTGATGGTGTTTGTGCTCACACAGGTTCATCTCCCCACACACACACACACACACACACACACACACACACACACGATGCACTGCTAAAATCTCCCCAGTACACAGCAAACATGGCCTGCTGGCCTGGTCACTTGGTGTCCCTCCATGCAGGGACAAACAACCTCCTGCAGGTGGGGGAGAGGCCAGTGCTGGCAATGGTGGTTGCAGGGGCTGGTGTGGGACAATTGTCGTGGGGCACCTTCCCAGGCTGTCCCCAGAACAAAGACACAGCCCAGGCCCTGCTCTGCTCCTCCATCAGGTCCATGCCAGGAGCTCTGGCTGTGCCAGGACACTGCTGTGTGCCCCCCTGCACACTCGCCCTCTGCCCAGGCACTGGGCTTTGCTGTGCCAGGGCATTCCTGGAGCACATTGCTGACAGCAGCTCTGGAGGAGAGCAAAGCCTTCCTGCCCTGCCCTCAGGAGATGCCCTTTGCTGATGGAGCTGCTGTGCTGGAGCCCAGCTGTGTCCCAGCAGTGCCCACGGCCTGTCCCTGCCTGTGGTCACAGCACGGACACGCAGCAGGACAGTGACCAAGCTGCCAGAGCACTGCGGCCTTACAGCCACAGCAGGGCTGGGAAGGAGAGGGTGGAGTTGGGAAGGGCAGCTCCAAAAGGACCAGTCCCTGCTGCTCCCTGGCAGTGCTGCTCTGCTGGAGCTCTCTTCCTCTTCTCCCCTCTAACTTCATGCAGGCCTCAGACTGGAATCCCAGATAAAACAGGCACTGCAGGGTAGTTTATTTTGTTCAAATGTAGCGATAGCACAAACCGTGGTTTACAGAGCTTATTGGTCATATCCAAGAGGCAGTGAGTGAATTAGATGGTGGGAGTTAAAAAATGTTATTGATGATAATTTATGAGCGAAAAACCCACTGAGCATTACCCAAGGGCCTGCTGTCCTTGGCCCCTGCACGCTCATCCAGGCTGAGATGGACACTGATGGTTTCTGTGCCAGGCTCTGCCAGCCCAGCCCAGCTCCCTGCAAGCTCTGCCAGCTGCCCTGAGCTCTGGGCAGCACCAAGGGCCTCTCCCCAGCACAGCCCAGCCGGCTCTGGCCCCACAGCTCTGCTCAGGCCCGGCTGCTCTGGGCACTGCCCCACGGCCTCAGCCCCTGCCAAGGGCACAGCAGCAGCTGCAGCTCAGCCAGGACTCAGCCCCACCATGGGGGAACGGGCCTGGCCAAGGCAAAGGAGGCTCCCTGGGTGTCCTGCTCTCCTCTCCAGGAGATCTGAGAGCTCTGTAGCCCCTCCTGCCATCTTGTGTGCCCAGGCCAGCACAAGAGCCCCGGCCTTGGGGCCCTCCAGAGCTGCTCCTGCTCCAGGCCCAGGGCCCATCCCAGAGCTGGGGCAGCCACAAAGCTGTGCCCATTTCTGTTCATTCCTGCGCTGATGGGGATGGATCCTCAGCACCTTGGAGGTTGGTGATGAACTTTACTACTCCAGAGGCCTCTTCTTTCTTGAGCTCTTCAGTATAGAAATTTAGTGACAAAGGCTCATTCATATTTCTTCAAAACACCCAAACAAGACAAGCCCATGGAAATAATTCAAGTCTTGAATTCTTCAGTTGTTAATTCGACAGATTGCAGAAGTGTATTTAAAGTCAACCTACTATATTGAAAACAGTGCAGAGGGAATTGTTTTGTCCTGTTTACTTTTCCTATTTATAGATTGATATCAGCAATCCCCAGTTGATATGGATCCCTAGCATCTCCTAATCCATTTTTAATAGGTATGAAAATCAAGACCCCTTGTTGCTGACAATCTGAAGAGGGTCCCACGGAGAGCCAGCTGGAGTAATGACACCCAAACCAATATGGCTTGATGTCATCCTCCTTTATTGTCTA